AGTTCAAGCCTTTTTTTGTTGGGGGTTATTCCGGGGGGGTTTTTTCGGGGGGGGACCTGGTTCAATTTTTTCTTCCCGGACACGGGGGGTTCCCGGGCGTTCGTGCATTGGGGGTGGAGGGGAAAGGGGGTTCCGGGGGGGGGGGGCCGGGGGAGGACCCAGGGGTGTTGGGGCGGGCGTTCTTCCCAAACCAGGGGGAACGGGTGTTCTGGGGAGAAGGGGAAAGGGGGGGGGGGTTTCCTTTTTTGGGGTTCCGTGTATGTGGTGGAGGTGGTGGTGGTTGTGGTGGTGGTGGTTGTGTTTTTCCCGGTGTATAGGTTTGGGTTAATAGGGGGTTTCTTTTTGGGGGTTGTGGGGTAGGCATACAGGGGTTTGGTGACCGGGGGGGGGGGGGGGAGGAGGGGAGGATAGCAATTCAGATGTTTCATGCAGCGTGAGCAGACTCAATTTTCACAAGGCCCTGCTACGGTTCTGACCAACAAAGACGATATACATAAGCAGAAAGGGATACTAACCTACCCGCACAACCAACCCCAGCCTGTGTGACGACAACAACAACAACGACGACAACAACACCAATACCAACAACAACAACAACAACAACAACAACAACAACAACAACAACACAAAACTCCAAGATCGCTACGGCGGTTCCCTCTCACCGCGAACACGCTGGGCACGTCGTACTCCCTCCCCAGGTCGGGGCACTTGTCCACGAAGCGCTTGTCGAACACGTACAGAGGGAGCTCGTCCTTCGACTCCCGGGCGTAGCGAAGGTAGTCCTGAACGTTCATCCGGCGAAGGCGAAGGAGCAGAAGCAGCAGCAGCAGCAGCAGCAGCAGCAGCACGGAGGCACGCACGCAATCCAAAGCGTTTACTGCACGCGATCGAGGGTGAATATTGAGCAAAGCTTGGTCGGATCACGCTCCGAATCGCACTTTCGTCATTCAAGAAGATGTGTACGAACAACGAGATGCTCTGTTAACGCACGCCTACCTTGGGGGGTCAACCCCCGATGTATGCGTGTAGTCGAGAGCATTCACACACGCACACACTTGGCCCGCAGATCGTGTCTTCTGTGCTAACTACGCCCTCGATCGTGTAGGGTGTTTGGCCTGTCCGGGGTGTGGAAGACTACGACCCTCTCCCGGCATCAATATGGAGGTGGGGGGACGCCGCTACAGGCCCGCTCACAGAAAAAAGGACACGCCCAAGTACCCAAAACAAAACAGAAAAATAATGGCGACGAGCACCGCACTTTTCTCGTTTGTGCCATCGTCCGACCCCCCCCCCACCCCCACTCGTCGTTTAACAGTGGGGCCTCGAGGAAGCCCGTTGATCAGCGCCGGTGGTCCTGCATAGCGCCGGTGAAATTGCTGGGCACAGACTGAATCACCAAGTAATTCTGGTCTTTGATAGCGCCGGTCCCTCTGAACATTTAGCGCCGTTCGATTTGCCGGGCACTTCTGTACCGGTGATACTTAGCCCCCCCCGTCGCCTACCTTCAGTGCGAACTCCAAGCCTCCCGCGTGCACACGAAGGTCCCCGTGAGCGGCCGAGAGTCTGCTTCGGGTCCACTTCTCCAGCGCGGGCCAGCTAATTGTGAGCGCGATGCATGGCGGCGGCGGTGGTGCGGCGGATACACAGGGGGTGGATTTGACAAAAAGGAGAGGGAATTTAATACACCGCAAGCGGGTTCCCGGTTGTGGACATCGCTAAAATAGTTCGTGTGTACACCTTGAGGGAAGCGATTGCATGCCCTATTCTAGCGAAACGTCGAAGACAAGCACCGCAGGAGGGATGGGAGGGCGGAGGGAGAGGAACCATTCTTCAGTGTGACCACGGAGTTCCTACCAGGCAGAAACGCTGTGAGTTGTGGGCGCTGGTTAAAAGTGATGAAAAAAGAACCCCATCAAACGCGGGGCTGCCAACAACGCGCGACATTTGAAATAAGGCGGGCCCGGGGGAGGCGACGCGCGATCCACGAAGAGGACTGGCAGTGTGGCTGTCGGGCGCCACGTGGTGCGTGAATGAACGACGAATCACTCACGACCTCGGCCAAATGCGATGTCACACATACACACATGGCCAAAACGTGCAAAACAACACTACGTGACAGCGAGCTTTGGGTGCGGAGAACGGGCCAATCAGAGAGGCACGAGCGTGGGCAGACCTAGAAGAAGCATGGTCACCAACACGCCTTCTCTTTGTGTCGTCTGTTTTACTTCGAGTGTTGGAAATCATAAAATACTGCCTGCCTTGTCGTGCAACACGAACAAAAAACATGGCAAAATAATATGCCCTTCTTATCCCCCATTTCACCAAGAGGGACCGCACGACCAGAAGCGTGACACTTTCATTCTCCATCTCCACCGCCACCTCTCTACACAAGTGTCGTGCCCGCGCGAGTGTACCCCCCCCCCCCCCCCCCTCCCGCGCGCCCAAGGGCACGGGTCGATCACGGAATCGATCTCACCGCCGCACTCCAAAAGTACGGTTTCACTCGCGTCGTCACTCCCTCAGCTCACCTCGCTGCTGCGTCCGTCAAGACGACGGGCCTGTTGGGCTCCTCGTACAAGCGGCGGAACTCTTCGGGCGAAAGGCCCGCCCTCCTGTCCACCGTGTCCCGCCGCACCCACTCGGGCCTGATCACCGTGGTGGCGCAGTGGTGCGGCTGGAACAGCAGGTCCGAAAAGAAGCCGGACACCTTGGCACACGCCATCGTTTGCGGTGTTGTGTAAGCGTGGGAGGGAGGGAGGGAGGGAGGGAGGGAGGGAGGGAGGGAGAGGGAGGTTTCGAGACAGGGTCCGTGCGTAGCGGTGACATGAAACAAAAGGGAGGCGACATCAATAGATTGAACGTGATGAAATAGCGGAAATGATCAAGGCATATTAAGAGTACGTGTTTACATGGCATCTAAGGGGATAATTATCAGATAAATTTACGATGGCGAGGCGTGTGCTTGGTCGGATCGTGGGCCAACCCATACTTTTCTCGTCTATCAAAAACACACAACGTGTACCACTTCGTGGAAACTATGCTTGTATTTACCTTCAAAGGAACGTGAGGCACGCTCTTCCCCCCCCCTTCATCGTCCGCACCGCCACCGCCGCGGCCGCCGCCGGGGGCAGCCGAACGCCCGACGGCGATGTGCTGCAGTGTGGTCTTCCAGCCGCCTCGGGTTTCTACGCCTTGGCCTGGCCTCCTCGCCATCTCCTGTCGCGATTGTACAGCAGTACGATTCGATGGTATGATTGTCGTGCACACGCACGAAATGCGTTTTTAACCAAGCTCGCATCGCTTGACGCACGACACAAAAGCAAATCGCCAAGCTCTCGTCGCTTCGGGTCATCACGCAAACGTTCCTGCACACAAACATGTGTGTTTGTTGAAGCATCCCCTTGTATCTACCGCACATGAAATTCTACGTATGCATATCATCAAAGAGAGACTATCCGTTCGAGAACATGGAAAACAGGGCGACTGAGAGGGTACATGTAGCCGAAGGATAAAAAAAAGAAAGTACTTCATAGAAACAAGACGTCAGTGCGTCCAGAGACGAACTCAACAGGCAAAAGTACTTATTGAATCCTTTGTATATGCAAGCAACGATACACGTAAAACAACACTACCAACGACAACGGCAACAACAACAACAACAACAACAACGACAACACCACCAACACCAACACCAACACCAACACCAACACCAACACCAACACCAACAACGACAGTAAGGGTACAGCAGTACCTGCACCACGAGGGTCTTCCACAGCTCTTCCACGTGGGCGAACACGTACAGGGCGCGGCTGGCACAAGCGAGCCGGCCGAGGGCGGGAGCGTCCAGGAAACAGAGCAAATCCAGCATGCGCTCATCCTGGTAAGTGGCGGCAGCGACAAAACAATAAACATTGTCATTTATAAATATTAGCATCGACCGCGCTAACCGGCTGACCAATGAAAAGGCATCAGGCTCAGTCGTTCGAAAATACAAAATGGTTCTAAAGGCCAAGTGTGTCTGTTTGCGGAAAGCAGAAAGGGTGTGGCGGGAGTAGACAGGAGGGGGGGGGGGGGGGGGGTGATGGTGTTGTAGAGCATAATCATGAGCACCAGCAGAGAGAGAGAGGCTGACTCACATCGAAGGAAGCAAGCGTTCCGAGGCCTCTCGGCTTGCAGTCGGAGCTCCTGCCCAGGAAGATGTTGCCCAGCGGCTCGACGCCGTAAGGGTGCCCTTCCTCGTCGTCCTTGCTGTCATCCTCCTGCTGCCGTATCAGCGGGGTGTGGAATGAGACAATCACAGTGTTGAAATACAGCGTATTACTGCTGTAGGATGTGCATAGTTGAATAGATGCAGCTGCATGATTGTTGTATGCAAAGATACGTAGATGCGGTGTGACAAGCGACGTAACATGTAGCGACGAGTTCTAGCGAGGAGCTCATGAATCAACTGATGCTTGATCAGAGGATTGTAATTGTAACGAGATCACGAGGTGTTGCGAGGAATGAGGCAATCACAGCAGCACATGCATGGAAGGAAGGCTTCTTGTTTTCTTAAATTTCCTCTCACAAACACGGGAAAACACGTATTTGGGTTGTTTGCCGGGATGTTTGGCATGTATCTCAAGGATTCGGGACGTAAGCTTCAGGTGTGTGGGACCAGCAGCAACGGTCGGGGGGGAGGGGGAGACGCGTAAAAAAGCACCACTGGTGCAGCATTTCAGCTATAAAACGAGTTGGAACACAAGCAACAAGTGCCCCAGCTTCTTCCACGTTACAGCAGTGCCACCCCCGTTCTATTGCCACACCCCCTTTGCAAGTGCGGCAATATTTACCCCTCACTGCAAGCAGATGGTATCAGGTGGTACGCATACGCTATCACCACCCTTTCGGTGATCACCCCCCCCCCCGGTGTTGTTGTATCACGCACCCGTCACGTCTCGCGCGACTGTGCTCTCCTCTCCCCGCCTACCGTAGACGACACAAGATAACACACCCCGGCGATAGTATTTTGGGCTTTAAAAATATCATCACCGGGGTGTCGTGTGCTGCTGTGGGGTGTGTGGTTTCTTTGCGGGTGTGTTTGCTATCTTGTGTCGTCTACGGTACATCAGATACCACGCCCCCTCGAGAAAATCAAACATTTTCAACCCCCAATTATGCACTCTATTACGGGTGTTTGGATCCGGTGCACGGGGAATGAATATGTCGTCTACGGTCGATACACACAGATGATGCAGACTACATCGCGGTAACACCTCACGTACGTATTGCGTCACGCAGCTCCGGCGATAACGCGGCACAACAGCAGTGATATCTACACGGTACCCAGCACAATCGCGATGTGCGGTGCAGCGACGACAATCGCGTGCATGTTTGCAAGTAAAATCTAAAATAAGTTTTTCTTCAGTTTCAGCAGTTGTCTGCTTATGTGGAAAGAGCCGATTGATTGTCATCGTGTGGTTGCTTCTTGGTGCGATCAATAACGGGCCAATGTGCATAATATTGTAACTTGTTTCCACTACAATCGTAGTACCGGGGACTACCGTATGTGGGTCATTTGTGCGTGCAACACAATAATTCACGGCGAAGAACAAAGGCGCATCACTCAAGTGCTACATTGTCGGAGTCCAGTTCCAGTACGCTCACCTTCTGCTTGCCTGTAAAAGTCATCCTGACGCTGGGGAACAAAGTGGGTGCAACAGAGCAGGGCAGGAGGACAGGGAGGGCTGGGCGAGCGTATCAGTGGACGGACGCATGTGATACCCCCACCCGTGAATCTCCTCTGTCGACCCCCTCCCAGGAAACGCGCTTCGTCGCCATCGCAAGTTCTGGCGTTGAGTGGGGCAAAGAGCACATCATTGTAACAACAACAGCAGCACCAACATGGTGAGAGAGAGAGACTTGTAGAAAGTAGTGCTATCGACCCGCTTAGATGTCGTGCGAACCTACCTGCCTAGCTTGCTTGCCAGGTCTTTGCGATGCAAATCGGTCGGTGTCCACAACACGCAAGCAACACACGCGTTTTTCCACACTCGGACCCCCTCTCCTGTGTGCTTTCCCGAGAGCAAGAATGTCATGGTTTGTATGCATAGGCCAGCTGCACGGAAAGCAGGGCGAGGGGATGGGGGTCGCAGACGAAAAGGATGGTCTACTTCGCAGCATGCTGCGGTGCAAGCCCTGTGTGTGACGGCTTTTGGATTGCAACGCTGCGCTTTAGCTGTCGCCACGATCACAACAAAATCGTCCACACACACACCTACCCTCTGATGTTTTGTTCGCGTACTTGCGTTGGTCAGATGTAATACACTTACACGCCCACGGGTGCGGTGTGATTGAGCAGAGAGACGCCGTCTCGTGTGCTTAGCGTCACGCCAGCCGTGGCGTGGATACGGCGAAATTTTACCCCTTGATGTGTCTTGCTTGGCCCCCTTGGTAGGGGTGTTACGCATTTTGCATGGTTTTGCCAAAGTTTCTCCCACTGATTGATTTTTCCAAAGGGTCAGGTGGTCAGGTGGCGGGTACATCCAGCTGTGGCACATATGCATACGGTCGTGCGTTGTTGGTGCGGCATGCCCGGTAAAAAGCCTGGGCATATTTCGTGCATTGTATTCTGAGCAGCAGCTCGGGAACAGAACCATTGTTGGCACATCGTAACCGCAGTTGTTGGTGTAGTGATAAAACGCATTATTGTTGACTCCAAAATTGTATTCGAAACAGCAGTAGTTCATTTTGTGCTCCGTACTTGTAGTTGTAGTATTGTAAGCGTTCGGTTAGAACCGAGTGCAGGTAGATTTGCACACTAAATACATATGCATCTAAGTTGCCAAGCATCGAGAACTACCTCGCCTTAGAAAATCGCGAGTAGAGTTGCCTCCGACTTTAACCGGTACCCTATCGATTAGATTTTGGTACACATCTTCAGGTTTACTTCCGAGGTCTGCCGCAAAAGATGGTGGCGCTGGGCATCTTCCGTCTTTCACCACAACGCGGTTTTGATGGATCTGTTAGACGGGCCGCAGGAGGGTCTATCACCTCTCTGTACTCATCGCGCGCGTAGTGCGTGGTGATGAAGCAGTAAGCAACATAGACACGCGCGTCAAACGATACACGATACATACGAACATGTGTGGCTCACTACGGCTGTAGCACCGAGCGCACTAGCAGATGGCCAAGGAAAACACGTCGGTCCTGGCGGGATAGCAACGACAATCACCATTGATTCCGCCCCTCTCCCCCCACAGTGGAGCATGTGTTTCATGTGTGCGTGTGGTTACCTACTGGCTCCCCAACGCTACCAGTCTTCCAGATGTACACAGCGGGACCAAAATGCGAGACAGCAACACACGCACGTTGTGCCCCCCTCATCATTTTTTTCTACCCCTGTTCGCTTCCGTCTTGATGCCTGCTTCCTTCCCACTTTGCCGCGTTCATTTGGAGGCCCCCGTTCCTTTCATGTGATGTCCTCTCCCTCCCCACTTTTGTCTCTCCTTCTGTTTGTCTGTCTTGTCTGTCGCGCGACGCGGCACGGCGCCCCGCCCTTAGGATGACGACGAGCCAGTAGACCCCTTGACGGGAATCCGTGCAACCTGCGGAGAGACCACGGCTTGCTCGGCGACGATGAGCGAGTACAAGGTACGCGCACGTCATGCACATGCACTCCTCGGTTCGCGTGGCAAAGCATGCATGCCTGGGTGCATGTAGTATTTCAGCGTCGACCTAACGACGGTTTAGCGTCGAGCAACCTGCGCCTTTTGTCCCGGGTGACGGGTGACCACCTCGCCGGGTTTGTCGTGTTTGACCGGTTCGCCAATCGGGATGGTTGACGTGTGTTTTCCGCCATATCTGCATCTGCCGCGGTTTTGACCGAAAAACCATTGAGGGAGAGATCTGGATGGAAACAGAAGAGCCCATCGACCCTTGCGGCTTGTGTGCACGTCCGTTGGATTGGAGCATGCCGCCTGCTTATTGC